GAGTAAAAATAATAGAGAATATTTTCATTACAATTTAGTTTAATGTCATGACGATCGTTGAATCGCATCAGCGTTTTGGCATAAAGAATTCCCCCTGTAGTGGTGGTATAGGTATATATCTGGCTCCAGTGGAAGTGGTCCAGAACCATCATTACCTAGACTACTTCACAGATTCCATTGTTTGCTCAGTAGAGTGATCTGTAGTCGCTTGGGTTTTTTCGAGTGGGAATAGATTTGGATTCAGATTGCTGAGTAGGTATTTTATGTCTTTGCTGATGAGCATGATGAGCAAGCGTTTAGGACATTTCGGCGCCAAGGATGAATGACCCTCTTTCCTGCAGTTTGTACACCATGTGTTGCAGTTTTATTTGCAAGAAACTCGGGAGCAGTTTTTACACTTCGGTGGCTGGTTGCATGATGTTTTTGTATGTCCATAGAGCATACATTTTGTGCATTTGGTTGGCCTTTTCCTGTATGGCCTAGTTTCTATGTCCTTACCACCTAGATTAAGGTGGTCGGGGAGGGACTGGCCAAGTAATGTGAGTATTACTACTCGTGTGTTGGTTGTGCCCATTGCTTTGATCCTGAACGCTGACAGAATTGTAGGTTGAGTGACTTTCTTTTCGGCTTGACAGACAATTTGATAAAGCTCACCGTCATTATTTTTTTGTCCAGATGTACCGCGCATCTGACATTGCTTAGCCACTTTGGGGTATCCCATTTTTATTTAATCCTGTTTATGCTTTTGGGCATGTCAACTGACTCTGTGAGGTTGTCCCTGACAACAACATACCCTCTTCCACACTTATTTATTCTGATAATATGTTTTTGCTTCAGCTCTTTGGCAATATCTTGAGCTGTTAGGATCTTATTAAGATCTTGGGAGAAGTCTGCACTAAAGACTACTTTTTCGAATTTGGTTTGTGGTCTACTATTTTGTTGTGTCTTTGACTCTGACTCTTTTCTGGACTCTTTTAGCCTTGGGTGGGCTAGATTGTGGCTGTTTGCGTTTAAGCATGCCATGAGCACATATGGCACTATAATCGATATTTTCTTTGTTTTTAGTTGCTGAGAACAAGAATCTGTCCTGAAAACGGTCAGGGACATTTAGCACTGCTTGACATGTTAGCTTTTGGGGGGCAGTTTTTTTGGTGACCAGAGTGAAGGGATTCCCTTCATTTGGGTTAGGCTGACCCTTTTGAGAATTGGGCTGGTTCTCTTGAGAGTTAGGCGGATTCTCAACAATTGTAATTTCTGGACATGTCCGCCATCTCCATCCATGTTCATTTTTGTCAGTCCCAGGGGCCTGGGTGTTAGACAACCGTGCAGTTTAAGCTGGTGAGGGAACCGAGCTTGGTAGGCGCAGAGGGTTGTGTACAGTACGGGACCTGTGACACAACTGACACAACTGAATACGTCTTTTACTTACTTAAATTAGGAATTTAACATGCACTTTCTGACCTATGCGTATTTCGTGCACGGGCCCGCCAGGCCATTTGGTGTTTTATTGAAAAGGGTATGTCCGACAAGGTGAGGCAACCTGGGTGGGGCTTTAAAGGGTTGCTTACTTACTAAAAGGAGTTTGTGTGTGTTTTTATAGGTTTAGAATTTTAGGGTTTATTGGCAGCTTGTTTGTTGTACTTTTATTTTTAAATGCGGCCAAGTAGGCCTGTTTTGATTAGATATATGCCTAGTGCTTTAAAGGTTTGCAAGTCATTTAGGGAGTTTAGTACCGTTGCTAGTGTCATTTGATTGTTGCAATTTAGTGTGGATTGGAGTGTTGTTGCTGGTAATGTGTGCAATATCGTATTATGTGTGCAGGCGTTTCTTTTAAGTTGCAGTGGGGGCATTTACCGGTTTGGTGTTTTTTTAATTTGTTGAGGTAGGAGTTTAATTTAGTGTGGCCTGTTTGTAGTTTAGTTATTACTCTGTCAATTTGTTTGGTTTTATGATGGATTTTTGGATTTTTGAGTGGCTTTTGTAGCAGGTGTTTTAGTTTGCAATCAGATTTCTGATAGTTATTTTGCCACTTTTGGAAGATTTTCTCCTTTGTAATACTTTTAATTTCGTTTTTTGATATTAGTAGGTTGATGCTTACTTCTTCTAATTTTAGTGCTGATTTGGCTGCTTTGTCTACATGTTCGTTGCCAAACACTCCAACGTGGGCAGGGATCCAAACTATTTCCATGTCTGTACCTAGTTTACGTAGATTGTTGGCGCTTTTAATTATCTGTTGTATTAGTTTTGGGCGCTTTTTTGTGTTTTTGTTTTTTATGGCCTTGAGCCCACTAAAATGAGTCTGAAAGGATTAGGTTTTTTTGGTGCCTATTTATTTGATCACTGTGCAGGGCTGTTACTATCCCCATTAATTTGGCTGTGAAAATTGATTGATTATTTTGGAGCCTATATGATTGTGTTTCTTTTGGGGGTTTGTTGCTATGGATGCCGAATCATGTGCGTTTTGAGCCCCGGTCAAAGGACCCGTCTGTGTAAATGTGACATTTGTCCATTTTTTGTGAATGTATGCTAGTGCGATGGATTTAGCGGTATTTGGATCAGTTTCTTTATTTAGTCTGGTGGAGAGAGATATGTAGATTTTTGGGGTTTGGAGTTTGGGTGTGAAGGTGTTATTTGGGGTTGTGTTTAACTGTAAATTATTTAGGTTGTTGGTATTTAGGTAATTTATTATGCGTTGAGAGATTGGTGTTAATTGAGGGTTTTTGTTGAGCTAGAGCTTGGAGTCTGGGGCTTATGTTAGTTTTAAGGAACTGTTGGATTTGTTGGTTTTGTTGGGTTGAGGCCAAGTTATATATTGTTAGATGTTCTCGGCGTAGATCCAGGGGTATTTCGCCTGTTAGTGCCTCATACCAAGAGTAGCCGGGTGAAAAACGCTCCTGAATAATTTTTGTTATCAGAACCTTGTATCCCAGCGATTGCTCCAAAAACACAGTATAAGTATCGCAAATACACCAAGAAGACTCGACTGTGTTTATCTACCCCCGATCTGCCCGAAATATTTGGATTTCGTCGATGTTTACTGACTCCACCCACCTGCACAGCTCTCACAACAGACAATGGCGTTGGCGACCCACAGTGACTACAACCAGAGTGACAGATATCGCGACTATCAGCCTGATCTACAATATCTACAGCAACACCACCGACAGCTACAGCAACAACTTCACTCAGAACAACAACAAGCAATACAGGTATCGTCACAAAACTCTGCCTCGTTACCCCTACTTGAAGGCAATCAACCCCCGGCCTGGGCCAGTCACCTGATTTCAGAAATAAAGAACCTCTCACAGATTACGCATGGGATTGCACCTAGAACCTCGGATATTGAAGCTAAAGTGTCTGTCATAGATAAAAGATCTGAGCAGATTGATAAGATTCAAGAAAGAGTTAAAAACATAGATATTAACATACTTACCCTCAACCAGTCTGTACAACATACTGTGCATAGAGTGTCAAATATTGAAACAGCCCTGACCCAACTTTCCATGAAAGTAGATAAGACTAAATCTACAGGAGAAGAGAATGCTTGTGTAATAGACAGACTAGAGGGTAAACTAGATGAATGCCATGATGAGCTAGACTATCTACATGGTAGACTACATCAGGTTAGTGACCAGAATTATGAGCTGAAGGAACAGTTACTTACAGTTCAGTGTAAAAGTCTGGAAAATAATCTTATTTTCACTGGGATTGATGAGACAGAGGAGGAGAATGTAGAAGTGAAAGCACAAAATGTGATAGAAAACAATTTGAAAATAGCAAAGTCCATTGAATTGGAAAAAGTACACAGGTTGAGAAAGAAGAGGAGTGATCAAACTAAACCTAGACCTATTCTAGTTGCCTTCACATCCAAGAGGGACAGGGACGTTGTTAAAAGTCAAGGTCACAAACTTAAGGGCTCATCAGTGGGGATAAATGAACATTTCCCTTATGAAATACAACAAAGGAGAAAACAGCTGTGGCACAGATATAAACAAGCTAAAAGTAATGGCCACAAAACTTCATTTGTCAGAGATAGACTGTACATTGATGGGAAGAGAATCTACCCTGACTCAACCCCTGACATAGACCCTAATGTGGACTTCCCCGCCCTGCACTCTGACAGAGAGCCCCCCTCATCCCTCACCCCTACCCACAACAGACCAGAGAAGAAAGCCAGGTACAAATCTGACAGACAAACCTCTGACTAGGGAAGTCAAGGAAGTTGTACAAACATGAATACCCTAACATTCTTCTTCATTAATGTTTGTGGACTCTTAAGAAAACTCATAAATCCTGATTTTCATACCTATATCAACAACTATGACTTTATCTTACTTGCTGAGACTAAACTGGATGATGTTGATACTATTGATATACCTGGCTATGATGTGTATGTTAGAAACAGAGACTCTAGAGTCAGATCAGGAGGTATTGCAATTTTAGCTAAGAAATTCTTGAATAAATATATCAAATGTATACACACTAATACAGAGTGTGTCCTTTGGATAAAAGTTTCAAAAGATATACTTCAAACAGATAAAGACTTGCTTATTGAAGCAGTATATATTCCCCCAGAAAATTCCCCATATTTCAATATCTCCTTATTTGTTGACATTGATAGTGATTTAAATAAATATGCAAATGACTGTGAAATTGTACTGCTGGGAGACTTCAATGCAAGAACAAGAACTATATTAGAATTTATTGAAATGTCACAGACGGTTTGTGATTACATTGGAATTCCTGATGATGTTTTTGATGAAACTGGTGTACTATCTTTGTTCTCTTCGCTTGGAATAGACATCAATAGACACTCATCAGATGTGGGTAGAGCAAACAACCATGGCTACAGATTGATTGATATTTGTAGAAATAATAATCTGTTTATCATAAATGGTCGTTTTGGTGATGACAAACACATTAGTAAAGCAACTTGTAAAGGTTGTAGCTTAGTTGATTATAGTATTTGTGGGGGGTTAAAGAGGACCAAGCAAAATATCTCTCTTCAATCTCGTTTATTCGCCGTAGTAGCTAGAATCGTAGCCACCCATGGCGTAACCTAAAACAAATACACATAACATTTCTTATAAACATGGCCATATGGTAACAGTGTACATAAGTTATTATGGTGAAAAAGCATTTCAATTCATAACAAACTTCATACAATATTATTCAGACGTAGATATTACTCCCGTCAGGATGTTACATTCACCAGGATGAAAATACATTTCAGTTACATGATAAACCAACATATCCTACTCTGAATAGTTCATACCAACATGGTGACAACTAAGGAATGTTATATGAAATTACAGGTTGATGAAATAGAATGATATAGTTGAATACGACTTAATACTGATAATAAATAAATAGACAGTGACTAGATTGGTAATTAAAAGTTGAAATATTGTTAATGTAGCTGCTGATCAGCACTCACCCCCAAGGAGTCTACAAACAGCTGAGACACTTCAGATGGAGCAACACATCTCCATGGTGACTCCTATGCAGGAAAACAAAACTACTGTTATGGTTTTGTCTCCAACAATAATCACTAATGCAACACGACACAGTCTATGTTGTGATATTACTATTAGTCTACGAAGTAAAACATTTAGGTTCACGGACTAGGTTAAAATACAAAAAGGAAAACTAATTCACTACTTTCGCAACATCTCGACATCATCATCCAAAACGACACGAGACACAGCTAACAATTCCTCAAGCTAAGGGAAGTAACTCCTGTGTTTACATCGCCCACGTGGTAAGTGCTATCGGATTACAGTTTACTACAAAAGCTAAAACGTTATGATTACTTTAATGATAAATAGCAATAAAGTCTTTTAACAATTCATAAGTATATAATTTTAGATGAGACGATGACATTAACAACTGAAAGTGCACGAGGGCGATTACTAGTGAAACAATTGTAAACAAAGGGCAAAGGGAGCTAACTCGTGTTTTTCATGAAACACCTATGCTAAGCGACCGATTATAACTGGTAATGGTCATTTAAAATCATTTTACGTACTGTGTTTAACACAGTAACTAAAATACTATATGAAAACGCAAATACATTCGGATGACAACACTAAATTCTGCTAACATATGCACCAAACAGAATAGTCACATGGCACGGGATGCGCGAGGATAGCAGTCTCACGGCGCATTGTGGTTTACAAAATAAAACTACAGCAAAATACAACTATCTTGTCTATGCAAACAAATCGCAAACATCACAGTAAAAGGAAGCCAGCATGGGGAGCGTACTTACTCGTTATTTTCTGGGAAATGAAGTATAAACGTTGAAAATGGCTTGCTGGGAAAAGACACTACATCAGCATGAGCTTGGTGCGAGATGAGATGATAACAAAATGCACCATGGGAAAATGTGGAACATTTTCGTTACGAGATATAGAAAGTGAAAATACTACTAATTAATAAACTGAATATAGAAATTAATTAGTTCTGCCAATCTCACAAAATTGCAGAGAAAGGCTTTATTTAAAATAGGAAAAAATTGACATTTACGATTACTTCCGGAAATTGCCGATGATTATAAGCTTACGAGCCAAAGACTGGAGGTACAATAATTGAGTACTAAAACTCTTTTACACTCCCCTGCTGCAAAGTTGGCCCCTGACAACTAACTATACTGTTCATTACATCATGAACATGAAAGACTAACAATGAAGGTGTTGCACAATCTTCGTGAAGTACATGTACAAACTTCTATAGAATTAGCAAGTTGCAAGAAAATGTATTTCGTATGCATCCTGAGATTTCTTTTAGTTTTTCAGCACCAGCATAAATGTCAATAATAAAACATAACCAAGAAAGACATTCCAACTTTAACAGGACTAGGATATGACTAGAATGCAAATATACCCGTATTATACATGTATAATCAATGGATGGACGGATGACAACTATTTGCTGGACTTTGATAGCATCTCCATCAGCAATAAATGAGCTTTGCTCATTTCCGAAAGCAACTTTAAATCAACAGTCTCTTTGGGATTTTCAACTGGTGTCATGACAATCTCTTCTTGCACTGCTGACTTCGGCAAAGCATATGGGTTTGAATGCTTTCCTGCAGTCAAACGTGTTGACTTGCGAGGGAGGCTAGCCTCATGAACTACACTTGTACAGTCACAGTGAGGCAAGTCAACATTGTCAACAATATTATGGTTCATTATGACACTGTCATGATCACAATCTGTAATCACAGTTTTGATTACAGGTTCGGTGTCCTCTATCTGCTGAACGTTAGGCACCTGTTCAGTGGAGTCAACACTTTCAGGTTGGACATTCACCTGATCATGAACACTGGTATTGATCTCTTCCTCCCCTGCTGTAGGAGAAGCACTTCTCTTCTCAAAATGTGTGACGTCAACATGAACTGTCAATCAAGGACAGAAGCTGACAGCAGCACGGACTCGACTCCACATGCACCTACCGACGTTTGGACAAATGACATGCTTCTCAATTTCATGATGTAATTAATTCTCGCCAAGGTGAAATCGATAACATTGTTTCGGACATTAATAACTGTGCAACCGAGGACCAAGAAGCTCTAAACAATCTAGTAAACAATATTAACAATTTATTTATTGAAAGTGCCAAATCTGTGTTTGGTTTTAGACAACCTACCAATGCTATGTTTGAACATAAAAGGCGACAGAAAAAGCCTTGGTTTGGTCGTGATTGTAAGATCAGTAGAGGTAAATATCATCAGGCTAAATCAATATTTCAAAAACATAAAAGTGTCCAAAACAAAAGAAGGCTAATCAATGCAAGCAAGGCTTACAAAAACACTTTGGCAAAATATCATAACCTTCATAGATCTGACATACAGGACAAATTATTTAAATTACGTCAAGAGGACTCTAAATCATTTTGGAAACTGTTGCAGAATGATAATAAAGATAAAGATTTACCACCACTCGAGGAAGTTTTTACATATTTTCAGAAATTAAATGATGCACCTGATGAAGAGTCTGATGATCTCACTGATCAATTTGATATAAACATTGAAGATTGTAACTCTGTTTTGAATGGTGCCATTTCACGTGATGAAATTTTGATTGCCATAGCAAATTTGAAAAATAATAAAGCATGTGGCCCTGATAAAATTATTAATGAATATATTAAAACCACTCAAGTCATTATGCTACCTGTATATGTAAGGTTATTTAACAAAATTTTAGATGATGGTGTTTATCCAGAGCAGTGGCTCAGTTATATAATTCGTCCTATTTATAAAGGTAAAGGTGACAAATATGATCCAGAAAATTATAGACAAATCAGTCTTTTAATTTAAGTTGTTTGGCAAACTCTTTACAAGCATTATTAGTAATAGAATCCAAATTTTATAGAAGACCAAAATATTTTATCCGAAGCGCAGACTGGTTTCTGTAAAAAATATTCTACAACTGATCACATATTCACCCTTAAATGCCTTGTAGATTTATTTAAATCAAGAAAAAAGAAATTATTTTGTTGTTTTATTGATTTTAAAAAGGCTTTCGATAATTTTAATAAGGACTGCCTTGTGGAGTAAACTGTTCAGCCAAGGTATAGATGGCAAATGTTTCAGAATTTTGAAATCCATGTATAGTGGTATAAAATCATGTGTAAAGGTACATAGCATTGAATCAGATTTTTTCCCTTGCTTTGTAGGAGTTAGACAAGGAGAAAACTTATCACCTGTTCTATTTTCTTTGTTTCTAAATGACTTAGAAACATTTTTAATGTCCAAAGACTGTCCAGGTCTGTTAATTAACTCAGAAATAACACATTCCATGCTAGATTTATCTATTAAATTGTTTGCTCTTTTATATGCCGATGACACTGTCCTTCTCGCTTCCTCAAAAACGAATCTCCAAAAAGCTATCAAGCATTTTGAATCATATTGCAAAATTTGGAAATTAACTATCAATATTGATAAAACTAACATTCTAATATTTGGTGTTAATAAAAATGATATGAGTTAAGATATTTATCTCCATGGTGTTCCTTTAGAATATGTCACTGAATACAAATATCTTGGTGTTATATTTGATAAAAAGTGTTCTTTTAAAGCATCCATTGCTAATCTATGTCAACAGGCTACAAAATCCACGTATTTCGTACTACGTAAAAGCCGAAACCTTAATTTATCAATTCAATGCCAATTATATCTTTTTGACACAATGGTAAAACCAATCTTATTATATGGTTGTGAATTATGGGGTTTTGTTAATCTAAAACAAATTGAAAATGTACATATTTGTTTCATGAGAAAATTATTACCTGTTAAAAAGAGTACCCCTTTATGCATGCTTTACGGTGAACTAGGTAGAGTTCCGTTATCTGTTGATGTTAAAACCCGTATGTTAACCTTTTGGTCGAAATTACTTACAGATAAATCCAGCAAAATATCTTCAATCATTTACTCTATTGTATATAACATCCATAATACAGGTGTTTACAACTATGACTGGATTTCATGTATTCAAAATGTTCTAAACAATATTGGTTTAAGTTATGTATGGTTGTCACAGTCTCCTGTTTCATCTTCCTGGCTCAAAGCAACAGCTCACTCTATTTTAACTGATCATGCTAAACAAACCTGGAGCTCTGAGGTGGAAAATTCAAAAAAAAGTGTAGTCTATTCTCTCTTGAAACCACAATTTGAATTAGAAAATTATCTGACGTCCCTACCCCTAAATAAAGCTATCCCTCTACTTTTATTTCGTACTTCATGCCACCACTTACCAATTGAAAAAGGAAGATGGAATGGGATACCTATTTGTGAAACTGTGTTTTATTGATGATATTGGAGATGAATTTCACTATATTTTTAAATGTCCATATTTTACTAAAGAAAGAATTTTGTATATCCCACCTACATATTCTAAAAGACCTAATATGAATAAATTTCAAAGACTTTTCACTTGTAAAGAGATATCTGTATTAAAAAACCTTAGTAAATTCTGTAAATATGTAATGCAAATTGTAAAATCTTCCGGCTAACCACATATCCGCTATTATAATGTGTATTTTGCTGTCATTTTGTACCTAATATGCCAAGGATCTCGGCCTGAGCGTAATAAAGTTCTGTTCTGTAGTGATATGTGCGGCGTGCCATGCTGAGTGCGTGTGATTATCTTGAGTGCTTGATATTGAATTGAGTTTAGTTTATCGCTTAATGAGGAGTTTAAGGTGTTGTATATTTGCCATCCATAGTCTATTTTTGATCTAATTAGTGATTTGTAAAGTGATAGTAGGGTCTCCTTGGAGGCCCCCCAGTTGGAACCTGTCAGGCAGCGTTGTGTGTTTAGGTCTTTAGTGCATCTATTTTTTAATGTGAGCACCCCAGGTGAGGTGTTCATCAAAGATTAGTCCAAGGAATTTGGTTTCTTTTTGGAATTGTATGTTTTTTTTTTGTTTGGTTGTAGTTTGGGGGTGTTTGCATGCTTATTTCTGTGTTTGAATACTATCCCTGTGGTTTTTTCGGCATTTAGTGAGAAACCCCATTTATTTGCCCATATTTATATTTTATTTAATGCATTCTTTAGTAAATTTTGAGCCATATTTATGCTTCTGATGCGGTCCCAGAGGGCTCCATCATCCGCGTATTTGGAAGTTGGAATTGTATTGGGTATTCCCTCGAATAGGTCATTAATCATAATGTTGAAAAGTGGTGTGCTTAGAATGCTACCTTGGGGTGTGCCATTTTCTAAGGGACATTGGTCCGATAGCGTTTGGTCGATACCCACGGTTATTTTGCGATTAGTTAGGAAGTCTTGGATATAGTTTATTATTTGGCCTTTAAATCCTGCTTTTTAAAGTTTTTGTATTAGCTCGTTATGCCTTACCATATCGAAAGCTTTACAGAAGTCTAGAAATATGCCTACTGTGTATTGTCGGTTTATTTTGCCCGTTTTGATGTCTTGTTCTAATTGGGCGAGGTTGTCTAAGGTTGATCGGCCTGGGGTGAATCCACTTTGATCTTGGTTTATTATATTGTTGATCTAGATAGTGTTGGAGTCTATTTTTGACCATTGCCTCCATGATTTTACATAAGTTTGAGGTTAGGAAGATTGGTCTGTAGGAGTTTGCTTCGTTTGCTGGTTTGTTCGGCTTTGGTATTGGGATGATCAATGCCTCTTTCCATGGGGTAGGAACCTGACCGTTTTGGTAGATGAGATTTTAAAGTTTAAGAAGTGATTCCAGAAGATTTTGGGTTAGTTGATTAATTATTTGGTATGAGGTAAGGTCTAGTCCTGGGGCTGTTCCTTTTTTTCTATTATTTAGTACATGGAGTAGTTCCTCTAGTGTATATTGTTGGTTTATTTCTAGATTATCATCTTTGCGTAATTTGAAGAATTTATTTGGATTTTTTAATTGTTTTTTGGAATTCCTAAGGGAAGTTACTTTTACTACTGATGGCTGAGAAGTGGTCTGCAAGGTTATTTGCTTTTGTTTAGGGTTTTTCGAGTTGTTTATGTTTGGTGTATTTTTGGTTTGTTTAATGCCTCGGATTGCGTATATTTTGGGCCATACTGTTCTTGCGTCTGTGTGATGGTTTATTTCTTCGCAGGATTTTTCCAGTTTTTGGTTTTTGCCGTTTTAACTTAGCTTTGCACTTCATGGTTTAATTGATGTGCTATCTTTAGATGAGTGTAGTCTCGTTTAGCTTTATTAAATGCGCTTTTGCGTTTTTTCCTAGTTTTTTAATTTCCTCTTCCTTCTTTGGGACTGTTCCATTTTAAGTAGGTGAAATCCCTTTGTTGTTTTAACCAAGTGTAGGGGCACTGGGCTGTAGGTGATTTGGCATGTTTTCGTTTTGGGAGATAACCAGGCAAAACATAAAAGTTGTTGGCTTCTAATTGTGACACTGTTAGTACAATGTATTTACTACATGCCATTTCACTTACTGTCTTACAACGAACACAACCCTCTTTACCCAACCAGCAGTCATTAGTCTTACTATATTTGAAGAAGAAGAAGAAGAAGTATATTCGGTATCAAAGGCCACATGGCCAAGAGTACAATACATGAGATAGATCTTTGCACATGGACAGGTGGGACAACTGTTATACTATCTCAATACAATATTTATGATACATTATACAGGCAGATTTCTTTTCAAATATATAGCAATATGTTTAATTAGCTTAACATTTTTTGTTGCTACTAGTTGATTAAATTTTGCTCGTGATGGATACTGGTAATAGTAGCTTGGGATGTAGAGCTTTCTGTTTTCCATATAAAATGGACAAACTAAAAGGAAATGGTATTCATCTTCATTTATATTATGATTACATTTCTTGCACTTAAGTAAATCAGTATTGACTTTGTCATTGTAATGAAAGTGTTGAAT